CTTGTTGACGACAGTACTCTTGGAATTGCTAAGAAGTGAACAGTTTATTTCCAATGAATCATGATGGGAGAATACGTCAGACACCATTTACAGAGTCTGCGATGTTGTCAGGCATCCAATATGGCCTCTGTTTATTTTGAAAACGCATATGAAGATGAGACGAAGTAGAAAAGTCTCGCTGTTTCCCGATATTTCGGACAAGTATTCACTGGACCCACAAAAGCACCACAGAAGATCGAAACTCCGCAGATGATTTACATCTCATGGTGAACTCGAAAAACAACAAGTTGGTAGCCAAGATATGACTTCAGGTAAACATACAGATCACACAGGTGATGAAGATATGCCGCCAACAACAAGCACTAATCAATATGAATAGGAGAGACGTGAAGGAAATCATTCCATCCACTTACCTGAAAAGGCAGTTTATTTCCAACTACAAGAAGACAGTACGCATGAGGATATCAAAGGCAGTCAGGATCAGATCGGCAAAGGTAGATATTGCGTTTATTACTCTGAAACTAGTGTGAAAATTAAAAGCACTCAGTATGAGAAACAAGATTCCAATTTTCAACACTAATATCAACTCAATGAGTATAAGTGGTTTAGATAAGTGATACGCTCCTCACCAGCAAGCTGGTGCAAACTTCATCAACAGCTACCTTTGATATCTCAAAAATGAAAATCAGATGGTCTGCCGAAAGGATAAGCAACAAGGAACTACGGCAGGCAATAAACTATTCTCTTGTTAACAAAATATGCAGAAGAGGATGGATTGGACACAATCACTCGTACCAAAACTTATCCTTAAACTAGATGCTAGTGCAGATAACTACTGCAGCATCTTGACCAAGAGGGACGAAATCATGCAAACCATAGATCGATCAAAAGGAAACACTGTCTGTCTTCGACATAGAACTTTGCATAGATGTGCAGCCGTTCAAGTCGCCACACTCCATGTAGCACACAAAGTAAGAGAAGAAATGCATAGTAGAGACAGTAGACAGGGATATGAGACAAAAGGAATAGTAATAACAAAGTAGTTTTATTGGGAATTATAAGTCGCAAGGAGTGGATGCATCTGCGCCATTGAGAACGATTTTTAGCCATATCACCACTTGTCTCCAGCCATTGGTTTTTACCATCCTAAGGACCCCAACCAGGAAGCCAGTCTACATCTTCCTACGCTACTAAAACTAACTGTTGTGGATAACATTGACTGATGAGACCATGTTTTGATTTGGCTACCATTGGCTCTTTTCCAACCTGACCATATGTCAGTTGACATTGCCCATTGTCGAGCAAGGCGATGGCTTGGCATGCGTAACACATGTCCTAACCATCTCAATCGATGTAACTTCACAGCCTCGTCTATTGATTTCCACTCTCTACCTAGCACTCGACGCCTAACCTCAATATTGCTCACCCTATTATACCATTTCACACGGGAGATAAACCGCAGGCACCTATGATCAAAGACAGCTAGCCAGCCTTTTCATGTCTCCCACATTCGACGGCCATGTCTCACAGCCATAAAGGAGGACAAAGCGAACTGCTGAGCAGTACACATGTCCTTTGGTCGACAGCCGGATAAAACTTAATCAGCAGAGATGGTGTAGATTGGAAAGTGCCAAACAAGCCATCTGTATCTGTGCTGAGATTTCGTCAGCGATCAACCCACTGGCGTTGGCTGATGCAACTTCCCAAATAAGTGAAGTCATCAACACTCTCCACCAACCACTTCATTCCCTATTTTTAAGCTAGGAGTCAATGAAGTCCAATCCTGTAGCATCATCTTACATTTGGCGGGAGCGAATCGCATGCCAAACATTCGTAGATCGCAGCTCAAGGTGTTCAGAAGACTTTGTATTTTGTCAGCATCTTCCCCTAGAAGGACTATATCACCTGCATATTCGAAGTCAACGAGATTATTCCCTGGTACCAAGTTAATCCCTCAGTCTCTGAAGTGAGTTAGGGTTAAGTCCACTATTACGTCTATGATGAAATTGAATAGAAATGGGGATAGTGGGCATCCCTGACGAACACCACTTCAGATGACAACTCGCTGTAAGCTTTCAGCTGGCTGCATGAGTTCGAGTAGTGTCTTGATCAGTGCAATTTATCTTCTCGGCATTCTCTTTACAGCCAAGCATCCCCATAGTACCTCTCGGTCGACAGAATCGAATGCCGCCTTTAAGTCAAGAAATATAACGATTGTTAGACGCCGGTAAGTATGCCTATGTTCCAGAATCAGTCAAAGGGTGAATCTATGATCAATACACCCTCTTCCTGATCTAAAGCCTGCCTGGTTCTTTCGTGTTTGTGCCTCCAGAGCACCACTTACTCTACACATTATTATTGAGCCTAGGACTTTAGATACCATATTAGTCAAGCTAATCCCTCTGTGATTATCACAGGAAGACTTGTCTCCCTTCTTGTATATCGGGATAATGAATGACTTACACCAACCCGATGGGACTTCCTCTGATTCCTAGACGCTGCCTAGGACCTTAGTTAACGCAGACAGTAAACTATTTCCACCGTACTTAATTACCCCTGAAGTCATTTTATCAGGTCCCGTAGCTCCGCCTCGTTTCAGACTAATGACAGTCTGAGTAACCTCAGTTAGGGATGGACGACCTATGTCTATATCCCATTCAGGGAGATGTTGGATGTTCGGTAAGTTGAGTATGGCTGTAGGCCAATTAATCTGCTCCTCAAAGTGTTCTTTCCAACATTCTAGTCGTCTATCCTGGGAGCTAATTATGGTACCATTTTCCCCAGAGATTGCTTCATTTATCATTTGCCTTTTACCACCTGTTTCCCTGATAAGCCTAAATAGTTACCAATTGCCGATGCCTTTTCCATCTCCTTTGCTTTTGTAGCCCACCACTGTTCACGGTCATTACGAGGGCTTCTTGTTAGTTTGCGGTTGAGTAGCTTTCGCTCCTCATCATAATCGGAGCTCGCCGGAATCAGTCTTCTTGCGTCAATCAGTTCGGATGAGGCGGTAGAGATCCAATGGCTCTCACTAACTTTCGGCTGCAGCCTTCACAACTGTGTCTACAGCTAACTGTATGTTGTGCCAGGTTACCTCAGGAGGAGTACTGCTGTCGACCTCGAAAAGACAACGCCATCCTTCATTCTTCTAACGGACCGCACACATACGACTATCTACTGGGATCCAGTCAAGAAGTGATTTTCTGCCCTAACACTCAATGCTATCCCCACACCTGCGAGTCCTCATGAACTAGTTGACACCCTTAAAGTGAATTTTGCGGACTCACCTTGTTGGCCGGGTGAGGTTAAGTGAATGGCCACACTCGGGTCTTGTATGCGTGTTTCCGAAACACAACATACATACATGGCTCGAGATGCCTGTTGTCCGATTTGGCAGAGGGTCCTGAGGTTGAAAGCTCCTATATGAAGTTGGCGATGTGACTTTAAGAGGCTGTCGGGGGTGCTTCTATAACTCTCATCGTTGTTTGTGGTCATAGAGTGAAGAAAAGGTGCCGCGCTAGCCTGAAGAATAGTAGTGACTGTAGTAGGGCGGTAAGATGATGAAGGCAAAAGAGAATGATGCGCAGGAAAGCTTCGTGTGCTTTTGGAGGTGTGTGGGCGGTTGTTACTTCCCGGCTGCCCACGCCGTAGAAGTTGATTGGTTCTTCGGATACCTGAAATACAAAGTGTTAGTGTTGCGTGACCGCAGCGCCGAAGGGACAACTGCTTGAAGCCGGCTTGTATGAACTAGTTTCTTGGATTGGTTCCGTATCACTAAACTTACCGCCGGTTACGGACCACCGTAGGGTAAGTCGGGATGTACAATTTTTGGGGTCGACCTTTTCTAACACCCTTCCTCCAGAGTGGAGAGACAGCATAGCTGGTGTTACATCCCTGTTCCCCAGCATAGTGTACAAAGAATTTTTACACTAAGCCGGTAACTGCTTTTACTCTAATCGCTATCCTAACAACCTTTCTGCAGGAACAATAGTTCCAGCCAGTGTAGCTTGTTGGGTCATTGCAATGTGCAAGCCCAACCACCACGCCAAGGTAGCAGCTACCGGTCGGGGAAACACATTCACTGAACACTTTCAGTTTTGGACAAAGACTTGCAGAAATTACTTCATTTTTTCATGATTTTACCAAATAACAAGTTTAACGTGTGATTTAATCTAGTTACTTCCATTATCGGTAAATTTTATTTTGATAAATTCTCACAGTGCTATACAGTAATATATACTGATGACGTTTCGAGCACAATTTATTGCTCATAATCATATCAAGGTAATCACACAACTTCCTAAATTCATCATCATCAAAATTTACCCATAATGGAATTACACTCTACCACAGTGCCCAAGTTTTATTCTTATATCAATTAATCTAGTTACTTGTAAACATTGATGAGGTGCGTAAATATCTCAGCATGCCATTACAACATACTAAGAATATATATACATATATGATTGTATGTAGCTGAAACAACAATGACGGAATTGTTGACTTTAACTCCACGTTAAATTAGGCTACTTCCAAAGATATATGAACCGTGTTTATAGGCATCTTCAAGTTACAATGACACGTAACCAGCTATCAGCTAATAATTGAAGCTGCTCCTGACTGCTACAGTAAGAACCATGGTGGATAGGTTGACTTTACATTCTTTTAAAGAAGCACATAAATACTCAGAAAATAAAAGCGAGAGCTCCAAAATCAATTAAATGGACAGAAATCAGTCATTAAAAAAGGATCAATGGAATGAATATATTGAGCAGCATGAGAAGCAGGATCAGTATAAGTCACGCGTTGAGAAGTAGAATACTCCAAGTTCGGGCAGAAAATGAACGATTTGATTAATCTAACTACGTCTTTTGAAGTACAATATATACTCATGTGTATTTTTGAATGGATTTCAGTATACCGTTTAGGGAATTAACAGCCAGTGGTTGGAATATTTTTCTATCTGAAAAATACCAAATGATATGCTGTACATTTTGTAGCGGTGGATAAAAACACATATTTTTCGGAATAAATCAATTGATTATTATTACCATGATCATTAATTATGTTAATAGGTACAAGGAGTCCGTTGAGGATATTATGAGGACCGAAATTGTACAATGATTATCATGAAATAGCTACTAAAAAAAGCATGATTCAAATAAAATGAAAAGACAATAATAATAATTTGCTGTTTGTAGGTAAAAACTTTAGCAGACACACTGTGTCAGAGTAATTAAAAGAAAAATGATTAGAGTCGAAGAAATTATTCTTAGATGGATTTAAAAGTAGCAAGCAATGATTCCGCAGAAATAAAGTACAAAGAAAAAAATCAAAAAAATATTAAATACAGCTGACCGATTGCTTTTTCTTAAGTAGAATAAAATTTTACATTGAATACAACCCTTATTTATATTGTTTTGTCCGATTTGAAACTGAATTATTCCAAACTATCGGGACAAGTTTACGTTTACTCAAGTTCACAGTATCATTTTCATCGGAATGATGACAAAACTGAGTTGTGTGAGAGTAGTGTATCAAGGGCATGGATAACCGGGATCGACTGCTGTATGCACACCGAGAGTTCTCGTTTTCGAGCTCATTTAACCCCAAGGTCTCAGCTTCTGATGGAGGGGACGATGTAGAACATGCTGAAAGAGAAGTAGAAGCGGTATGTTTGCAGCTACGATCGAAACTGACACCGTTATTTGCACAAACCATAGAATTAGATAACGAAGGGATGTCGGTGGAAGACTGATTCGAAACATCAAGATGTGAATGAGTATATACCACATTTGTCACAGGCTGTAGTACAGTTGCACTAACTGATGCCATGGCAGAAGGAAGCGATTGATGAGCTGAGTGGACTGAGACCTCTCGAACAGGGCTATCCGGAGGTTCTATATCACCATCTAGTACAGCTTTAGTTAGTTGCACTGTTCCTGGTTCAAAGCAAGCTTGAAGGACTTGATATGCTTCACGTATCTTTTTCTGTAATTGAAAAGGTTGAAAATAGAATAAGGAAAACCATCAACAGGACGAACTGTAAAAACTATTTTAGGTAAATGTCCTACGAATTACGAAGTGTTACTAGTACAGACCTTTGAAATTTGAAAGGAATTTTTAAAGACGCACTATCGTGATAGTAGTGATGATATTACGATGGTTTTTAACATAACTAAAGGTGGGTGATAAAACCAGGACAGCCTTTTATTTAGAAATTCCTACCACCTTCCTAAATGGCCTTAAACTCTCTCCCTGCTTTTCTGTAGCCAACTGAGACTTGACAGGTACTGACACAATACACAAGCAGTTTCTGAAAATTTCGAGGATTTCCGGAATATGCATCATTTGACTGAATTGAAGTATATTTACAAAGTAGGGGGGGGGGTTAGCAAGGAAATGAGACAATCAAAAATACCTAGGATACAGTCAGGATAACTCGCCAATCCACGAGACCAAAACATCGCCAATTCTACTGAGTTATATGAAAGATAATTCAGAGCATGACAGTACAAAAATATTCAGAAAGTTGAACGATACTCCTACACGCCTACCGCTGGATTCCGTCTTCTTACTGGCATTTTTTACTCATACATGAACAGTTTACATGACATCGATTGCGGTGTCTTTCACATGATGCCATTCAAAGGCGATGCACAACAGTTGATGTATTTTACTCGAATTCAGTGAACAATATTTTGGGCATTTTTAAATAAACGCCTGGAAAATACAGAAGTCAAGTTGTTGACATTGATAACTTAGCCAGAGTTATACTGTATAGATGAAGAATGGTGCAAAACGATGCCATGTTTAGTGAAATGCGACCACTATCAAGAGACACCTAAAACACTAACGAATTTACGTTTTTTAACTACAGAAAACGACACAGCACCACACATCTTTCCAGTCTGAGACTATTCAATATATCAGTGTAAAGTAACCATACTAAATTAAACTCAGACAATAAGTAGATTAACATATGCATTACTAATTCAAAATTCACGCATAATAATCCCTCATTATAAGTTGGAAATGACTTACCGCTTCAAGCTTCAAAACTTTTTGAATACGAGTGACTGATCGGATAGCAGCATCACTCAAATCACGATGTACAGTTAAATTAAGTGCATAGAGAATGCATGCAGCTGCCATGCAACTAGGCACGTACAAACCAATTTCTTCGACTGTAAAGAAAAGCCAAAATAAACCTTACCAAACAAAATCAAACACAAAGAGGAAGATTATCATTAAGAAATAGGAAACTACTTACAAGATGTTGCAATCAATTCAGTACGTCAAATACTTCATAACATGGATTGTATATCAAGGCCTACCGAGGTCTTTAACATTCTAAATGTAAGACGAACTGTTAATTTGTGCACCCCTAATAACAGTAAGACGGTTAGAGTAAAGAAAATAGGTCCGCGAAATCAATAGTGGAAGTTACACACTGAAAACTCCACATCTGTACTAAAAGTACTGTTTGGAATAAAGCTATTATTATCATTACTATTACCTATTTACATAAAGCAGTAAGTTTAATCGTAAACTGATGCATGATTTTAAGCGATTTAACAGCACTTGGTGAATTCGTAATAGCACTAAAAGTGTCGCTAAGATGTAGTTACGTCACAAACTAAGTACGACACAGTGATACTTTAGACTGAATATAAGTTACTTTTTTAGCTAGACACCAGCAACACAAAAAACACATTTCTAGAGCAGAATGTGTCTAAATGACTGGTTTCAACATAGAACTTTGCATATATGTGCAGCAGTTCAAGTCTCCACACTCCATGTAGCATGCAAAGCAAGGAAAGAAAGTAAAAAAGATGTGCAAAATAGTGACAGTAAACAGAGATATGAGGCAAAAAGAATAGTAATATCGAAGAACAATATAGTTTTATTGGAAATTATAAGTCGCAAGAAGTGGATGCATCTGCGCCATTGAGAACGATTTTGAGCCGTATCACCAATTGTGTGCGAGATTATAGAGACACCTAGAGGGAGTCAATTAATTGCAAGAAACAATAAAGTGTAAAAAGCGAATCTCAATTCAAAAATGTGTGACGAAGTGTTTTCCTAAGTAATAAATCCCACTGCTGAATAAAATGGCACCGTTTAACAATAAGACAACTCTGAGTTATGAATAAAGACAAACTATGCATAGATACTTTGTAAAATTGAGAACTCATACCAAAGACAGGCACATAACTAGTGTCTTAGTAAAATAATTTCATATATTGGTTTGGAATTCGTATATTTCTCCAAATTCAAACTCACATAGAAATCACACTGAGTGGAGGACTCAAAGTAGAAATAATTAAGAGCGTAGACTTCTACCTAAACAATGTCCTAACTATTGCTCTATTGTGAAAAAACCAATATAGTTATGAGAAACAATATATACAAAGGTGTTAGGTGAAAAGAGTTCTCTGCTCGGAGTTAAGTTTTGAACTTAATCTGCTAGACACAGAACTTCAATGAGGATTCAGTTAACCGTTATATACAGTTGTCAGACACACTCATTACATGAGGACTGTATTTACTACGCAGTCACCTGAAGCTGTGCAGTGGATGTTGCATCATATCACATTCCAACCTACAGATATTCGAACGTGGTGTTGGATAGGCATATCACAAGATGATTACTTCAGCTGGGACGAATGTTTCTGATCTATTTAACAATAAGAACATTTACATTGTAAGATGATTAAACAATAGAATCTGAAAGCTATTTTGCACTACAAATGATGTGAAAGCAATACAACTGACACTCGTGAACAACCTAAGATTTCTCCCAACCAATTACGTGAGTGGTATAAAGATCGAATCCTTATAACTACAAACATGTTGCGTGTGACGGAGATGACGCACCCTTCCTGGTGTCTTGTGGTACATTTTGGTAATATTCATACAATACTGCGTGACCACCTTTGATGAAATAGATACCAAAGGACAACAAATGAAGTGCTTTTATGACTTCATTGACCTAAGAATAATAAAACTATATTAAAACAAGATCCGATCAAGCAGTTACCGGTAAATATCTTTATTGCTTTGTAGAGGTGTCACCATCTCTAAAACACTGGATATGGCAGAAGCGGTTTTCACCCTCAGACAACAGAGGCCAGCCTCTTTAGAACTAAAAACGGTGAAGGTAACTTAGGAGCAGAATGGCTAATTTTACGGTGTTTCTGTTAAGGGAAAGATAAGCACGTAGATGAGTAGATACAGGAAAACGCGACCTAAGAAAAAAGGACTGAGAAATTAGGAGTTCTAGAGCTACTAATCAGAAAGCTGACGCGCACGTAATGCAAGTGAAACAAAGAGCGAAACAGAGGAACAACTCAGCCTCAACGCCTTATTTATCTACTGATTAGTGGCAATCTAAATGCAAATCCATAAAGATTTCAAACTTTGTGCAGTTCAAAAAGTAGTGAAATCGATTTAGTAGCTGAATGGATCGACATTTAAGATCACTGCACAGATTAAAACATCAACAGTACAGATCATTACAACATGACGCTTAGTTAAAGCTCAGAATGATTAAGACTAGTTTGAGTAATCTGACCAGATATCCACGCGTAACCAGACCATAGAACATGGCCACATGCCCACTGCAAAGAATATACAACTACATTTTTTGCCGAAGGTTCTACGCCAAATATCTTTTCTACAGTTAATTGTTATTTCAGAAATGACTGACATTGTTATCTCGTTTAAATATTCAGAAATAACAGGCTGATGGCATTGATCATTTCGCTTCAAATGGATTTAGTCTGTTATTGTGAATTGATGGCTGAAGTCCTTCTGTGGATACAAAATGACTGATGGAACCTAGTCGGATTATACCATTCACAGAAGAAGCGAGATATTCGATAGCCTGTTAAGCGGGGCAATAAGTTATGACCTAGCACATGACAATAGAGATCGCTTCTACTGAAAAACCACAATGCATATTATGACTATCCCCAAAATATGGTAAGCCCATTGTTTGTATTGAAATGCGAAGTGCGAGTGCTATGTTACACAGAGTAAAACCGCATTACTATGCAATTTGCTTTAACCTGAGAGAGAGGAAAACTATGCGATAATTTAAACGAATTACAAACTTCAAGGAAGCTGCTGGTGTCAAAACTTGTCCTACATCTTAAGTAACCAAATATCCGGAATTTCAGAGCTTTTCATTTGCTCAACAGTTGCGGACTAGTCGCAGCATCGTACATTGAAATTCTTGCAGAAACCTAGAAGACATCTTTCGTAGTCTGGTTATATCTACCCACTGACTGGGCTTACTACTAAAATGAGATTATAATAGTGGACTGACTGACTTCCCACTGAATACCAAACGGATACGACAGTTGTGATATTTTCCACACTGGATTAAAGAAACACCATTAACAACATGTGTTGCTGGAGTCCCTCTAAGTGTATTTCGCTAGACCACTTCTCTCTTCCACTACACATTCTAAAAGGGCATTCTCCATAAACAAGAAAATTTAAAAATACTACACGAATTGGTACCTTTATAACTTACAAACCTCTAGTAATGTTTACACTCAAAAATATGAGCTGTAGATTTAAAACCAAAATGAGTAGGCCAGGCTCAAAGCCTGGCTTTCACTGGATTACCAGCAGACATTGCTGGACGAAAATGGTGTTCTACACGCGTAACACGTTCTAGATATGTCAATCGGTGAAGTTCAGTGTTGTTCGTTCACTTACCCTTCTCTACATTTAGACTTAATAATGTTCAGCATGTATCATCACTTGATAAGCGAGATAGAACGCAAAGACCTGTGGTCAGTGATAGGTGCGTTTTCATGTAATGTATTCGCAACGACAATGTCACAGAGGCATCAAGATTCCTAAATCAACAATCTCAGTAAGAGATTAGACAGTCGCAAATACTTGGTAGGAAATAATTATCGTAGGTTAGGAGCCTTCCATTTTCAATCTATCCCTGATGTATACACACACTGGACTTTAGTTAAATTGTTTTTCCTATTTCCTTTAACGAAATCTCGGCTACTGACATTCTTAATTTTGAAGAATCTTGTAGTGTTGAGAACGTGCTCCAGAACCGATATCTACTTGTTGATTTCTTACTGAACATCTTAATATAATGAGCCCTGTGAGGAAATGTAATAGAAATATCAAGTTTATTTCGCTACTGATATTTCACCAATATAGGATTTAAAGTTAACATGACGCACGCTTTCGCCAGAAAAGTGGCAACACATTTTTTGGTTATATTACAGTTACTGAGATCTACTTGTAACTGGATTTCAATACATAGCATAATACTTCGCAAAAATTACGCAGACTATCTTAGGTCAAATGTTAATTTATAGGGAGTTCTAAGGACCCAAGATAAGAGGCAAATCAACCTGACACAAATTAAAACAATTGTTTCTTACCATGAAAAGCTTTAATGAAGATACAAAGAGCAGCCTGGCGAATTATCTGACGCAAACTTGGTACGAAATCAAGGTATTCGACGACAGGGGCGATGAAGTCTACTGGAGTTATACAATTTAGGTCCCACATGAGCGATATACAAATAGTCAATTCCTTGGCCTGAAAAATACATAATTTGAAAGATATCTTACCAATACATCTTGTTCCGTTAGTGAATTTGCTGTGTACTCCGTTACCTTCCTTAAATGAATAGGTACAGTTTCCTTTAGTTTACTAGCAATAAAAAAGCAAGTAGCTCCCACTAGCTGATATTCATCTTGTTCAGTAGGGACTATGTGCATATAACGGTCAATTAGTTGCGTTGCATGTGCTAGAACCTCACCATCTGTTCCACGATGTATACAGATCTGATATTTATTAAACCAAACGCATCAACCTACATCTCTAAGCCAGTTGAGAAGAGAGCGCCTCATCCATGTTTTTCTCGCAGGGGGTTGAGAAACACAAAATCCCGGTGTTGTGTGATAACGTTTTTCATCGACTAGAAGGTCATCAATAATCCTTACATTCCGTGTGAAAAAAGGATCATATTTTGGTTGGGGAACTGTTATAGGTCCTTCGTGAAACTCATCATAATAATCGCTCGTATCTCTATCGGATACGTCCATAAGTTCAATCAAAGTCCCCTAAAACCATCCAGAACGACGCCTAGATAGTCATAAACCGCGCAGTTAGTTCACAACTAAATCAATTCGAGTAGTTAAAACAAAGTTTTAAGGAAGAATTTCAAAATCTTGTAACTCTGAACATTACTAATACATTTTTGAAAGCTCAGAATTATTTTAAAATATTATGTCATATTCTATTGCATTGTTCACTAGTTAATTTGTTGTGAATTTCAGGAAAATGGCATCAGAATGGGAAATATTCATGTGGAATATCACTGGGCCTTGACATAAATCCATTGAATAGAAATAATCCTTTCAGAAACTTGCAGGCAACTTCACAGGTCACTGGATGGGACCGCATAAATACTTTTGGATATAAGAGATAATCACTATGATTGCGGGTTCACTAATAAATATTGCACTGAGCAGTTTCTGAACCTACAATACTGGATAAGAACAAGAGGGAATTCTGTCAAACAAAAATCCTGACAACTCCTTTTCGTAAACTTGAACATAGCTACCCTGATACTCCAAAACGTTATAAGTAGCTTGCGTCATCAGTAAACATAACTGTACAACACTGTGAGACTTTATCAAAATGAAATTTACCCATAATGGAATTACACTCTATCACAGTGCACAAGTTTTATTCTTATATCTTTGAAACAGTCTGACTGAGACTTAATGGGAAATGATACAGGCAGGTCATCTGCATATTTGACGAAGTTGATTTCATCTGAAAGATGCAAATCATGTTAGAAGAAGGAAAAGAGAAACGGCGAGAGAACCGCACACTGAAGAATTCCAGCTTCAGTAAGCAAAGAAGAGGAAGATACACCATTATATACCGTGTACTGCATCCTATTAGAGAAGTAAGAGTGTAGCCAGTTGATAGCCCAAGGCTCAGTTTGTGTAAGGCTAAGCTTGTTTAGCAATAGGCCTCTAGGTACAGAGTCGAAAGCAGATGTATAATCAAGGAACGTACAACGGACATACTTGGCCCCTTTGTCTAAGGAGGATACAATGTTGTGATGAAACACAGCAGCAGCGTCCAAAGTACTTCTATCCTGTTTGAGAAACTTATGGAGGGAACAAGTTTTAGTAACAATAATTTCTCCATTAGTTTCAAAAAGGAGAGGTAATAGCGATAGGTCTAAACTTAGCATTATTACCAGAACCTTACTTGGGCACAGGGATGATTTTAATATCTTTCCACAGAGAAGGTACAACATTATTAGAAAAAGAAGTGTTGAAAATGTTTGTAAGTGGGTTACTTAAAATATCGGATTACCAAGGCAGGTTTAACGTAATAACAAATAATTTTTGGACACGAGACAGTATTTGGCGAATTTGTGTATGTGATCCAAACTTGTCTTATATATGAGTTTAAGAGCACTACTGAAATCAACCTTGTAAACGTCTCTGTAGATGATGTTGGGCATCTATTTCTGGGATCAGTTGCATCCGGCTGATAATGCTCCTCAGGTACTGGCCGTTATCGAATCTACACTTCGTTTGCATCTTTTATTTGTTTACTGCCAAATATAATGGAAATGCTAAATATCTTGCTTTGATAATAGGGATTCCATGTACAAGAGTTTTCTTAATATATCACATGATATATATGACAGGCGAAACTGGCTTTTGCCCAGTGCACACAAATTGTTGGCGTTTGCTCTGTCAGTCTGTCTCCGAAGGTCTATGGGAGAAGGAGAAAACAACAAAACCGCTTAGAAAAGAATACTTTGTGAGTAAACCGGGTTCTGCGAAAGATCCAAAGTAAACTCCCACTAACAGACGTATTATAGCCAATAAGTTCCATAAGCTAGATGCAATAATTTGACGTGAGAGTTCAACCCTCACTTACGTCACTGAAATATTCATTGCCTGTGACTCAGTTAAGTCCCCTGAGTTACTAGGTTCTAACTGCCCTCATGAAAAATTTAACCTTATGGCTACATGTTTCTTACTTGAATGTTGTATTATTCTTTATTTATCATTCTCTTGGTTTCCGAGTGGAGTATAGGGCTTTAACAGCACATCTCCACTTTATCCTCTTCAAGGTCCTCTCTAGCCAACCTCAACATAACCTATTGCACGATTTCCTCCAATTATTCCTTGCCGTTTTCCACTCGAGTTCCACTTGTGGATCTGGCGCGCAATGTCACACCACAGCTTTCTCGGTGAGTGTCCTATGCATTTCAGCGTTCTCAACCATATGTGTTGAGTAACAGATTGTTGACCAGTTTTATCCCACAGTTTCATGTCTCTATGTGGTGTCTTTACGCACTTGTGTGAACAAAAAGAAATCGAAAGGCAATCAGAAATCCCTAAAGGATAAGTGTTACCTGTGGTTGCTAATGATAATGTACTAGATCCAAATACATGAACTAGAACTGTCTGTAGTAAAGCCAATGTTGATAGCCATTCAATTTGTTGCAAAACGATTTAAAAAGCTGATAACATGCGATGAGCTGGTGGGAGTACGTATTAAACTAAATAAAGGTAAGACTTTAATTAGTACAAATAACGATTCAGATTGTGGTCTACAATCGGTGATTTCTTCGAAGTTACAACAAGCTGGGAAGCTGGTTATAATTCCGGGTGAAAACTGAATACGAATCGCTTGTTTCAGTTCAAATGATGAAATACTTTTCGGATGTTTGGGATTTCTCGGTGAATATAAATACGGGATGTCCGTGCTTTTTAAGAAAGCTTTAAATAAATTTTCCTTGATTTGGTGGTCTTCTTTTTCTTGTCAAAACATTTGTTGGCACGATTAGACGAGTATATAGCAGAGTAGTTTGTTCTGTGGCTGAGTGCCGTAGTCGCTATGCTTCGGGTTAATATCGCCCGTCTAACTGTTTTAACTCAGTGGATATAGCTTTTACCTCATGCTGCATTACAACACCTAGAAATCATAGGCATACTGTCTTCGGTAAATTTATTTTTACTTTTCATTTGACTGCAATTAGTGAGTCATTTGAGGTGCTACGATAAGCACACCTAAACGCTTTTGTGGAAATTAGGGTATATTTACCTTTTTCGACTAGGAGACGATCTTTTAATCAAGATGGTTCTCAGGATGTTAACGTCTACTTTGTAGTTCAAAGATAACGTGTAACTGTTCACCAAGGTAGTGGCTACAGGAGATTAACTTCAGCGGAAACTATTTTGAGGTAGCTAAGTATCTTTATGCAATACGTCACTGAAGTAAGCAGTGTACGTTTATTGTGGCTAAATATACTAAAGTTGTACAAATGGTCAAATTGTAGTTCTTACATGCTAGTTAGTCTTATAAATAATGAATATACCGTACAAGCGTTTACTTTGATTTCCATTCCTAGCTCATAAACATTATGCCCGCATGTAGTATACAGTGTACTGCTTTCTTCTCGAGAAATAAGGATGCGGCCTTTTGACAACCCAACACTCAGTATGAGTTTCAGCAAGCTTGTTTAACAAAATATCCCTAGGTACTAAGTCAAAAGCAGATGTATTATCTAGGAAGGTGCAGCGAACAAACATAGCCCCTTTGTCTAAAATGGAGACAATGTTATGATGCAAGCCTGCAGCTGCATCTAAAGCACCTCTACTATGTTTATAGGCGAATTGTTTGGGGTCGTTAAAGGCTTTCAGTAATGGTTCAAGATTAGGTAAGAGTAACTTTTCCACAATTTTTAGAAAAGGAAAGATAAAAGCATTAGGTCTAGATTTAATGCATGTGGAGTGACCCATTTTATTATTCATCATCATAGTATACTTTCACTATGTAATTGAACTTTGATTTGTTTATCACTCTAAAGATTGCACGATAACAATTGATACGTTGTACTCGGTCAACTTTTGAATTTTGATTACTGCGATAGTATACGTTCGTACTCCTTCTCAGGCGCCTTTTGATTTACGTTGTGGATGTCGAGTAATCACAGCGTTAGGACACAATAATAAACGCGAAAAAGTACTAGGATGTACGCGTATGCTGGATTGGTCAAATAGAGCAACTCAACAATTGGTAATCGTGCCTTAGCTGATCGGTGACATCATTTCGAAGTACACACATAGTAGATAAAAGCAGCATTACTATCTTGTTAACTTTGATAACTGCGTCTCATTTGGATATATATTTACTGACATTTTTGTTGAAAATACCTCCAGTAAGAAGACTATTTTTGGACATATTTTAACATACTTATATTCTGTTGTACTTGTTCTCAATTTTTCTATTTTCGCTATCATCTATATTTTTTTCGACGCTTTTGTAATGTCATTTAATACTGAAAACAATACTTATAGTAGAAGGTCTGTGGGTGCAGTTACGATATCTATACCACTTTTTAAACCTCACGATCCATATTTGTGGTACTCTTTCCTAGAACACTACTTTTTAGCTTACCACGTCACTTCTCAGGCTAAAATATTTGGCTGTGCCAGCTCCATCTTGCCGGACGACGTAGCGGAGCGAGTACGGGAAACACTCACAGATCCAGATCCAAAGGCTCTTTACGATGTTTTAAAGCTGAAAGTTATTAAGATTGCTTCATTATCAGATCAGAAAGCTATTGATCAGCTGCTCAGCAATGTTAGTCTGGGTGAGAGAACACCTTCGCAACTCAAAAGACATATGCGTAACATTTTAGGAGATCGGAAGGTAGACACCAGGTTTTTCTATCAATTGTGGCTGCGGCAGTTACCCCACAGCATTCAGCAGCTATTAGCGTTTGCAGATGAAGACACAGAAATCGACAAGTTAGCAGAAATTGCTGACAGAAAGAATGAACGGATATCTCCACAAGTCACATCTGTACTCGACAAATCATCAGACGAACGCATAGAAGCACCAGAATGTAAAATGGAAGTTCTGACCGGCCAATTAATGACGGTGAGATTTAATAGACAACCTACTACAGCACACAGAAGACGGCGTAGTCGCTCGCGCAGTGTACGCAAATATAGCTTACAACAGACTATATGCTGGTATCATCGAAAATTTGATGTATAGGCTAAACGGTGCACACAACCATGTGCTTTCCAGCAGCCTGTGATGTCGGGAAACGAAAAAGGCCGG